CACCATGACCACGGCAACTCTTATAAAGGAAAACATTTAATTGGGGCTGGCTTACAGTTTCAGAGGTTTAGTCCATTTTCATCATGGTGCAACATGGTGGCATGCAGGCAGACCTGATGCTGGAGAAGGAGCTGAAAGTCCTACATCTTTGACCCACAGGCAACAGGAAGTGGTCTGAATTAGGAATAGTTTGAGCATAGGAGACCTCAGTGCCCACCCCACAATGACACACTTCCTCCAACAGTGCCACACCTCCTCCAACAAGGCCACACCTTCTAATAGTGCCACTCCCTAAGAGCTTATGGGGGCCATTTACATTCAAACTACCACAAAGTTCATTGGCATCTTTAGAAATTGCAGGAAGTTAGCAATTCTGTCAACTTTGTGAGATACATAAACAAACCACCAACGAAGAATCCCAAACTGCTTGGTAGTCCATTTCATAAATGGATCTAACTGTACTTAATCATATTCTCCATCATTGAATATCAATTTAGGTACCTTTCATTTTTGTGTCACAGTGACCCTTCTTCCAGAAGTTAGCCATTATTATTTCATAGGTGATTTCCTATGAATGGAATAGCCTATGGCTACGGATTGAATATAAAAAGTCCCCACAGGCTCCTGTGTTTGGTGCCAGCTGTTGGCTTTTGGAGGTTGTAGAAATTTTAGGAAGTAGAGCCTAGCCTGAGACTGGGTGGCTGTGGGCAGGGGAAGGATTGTGGTCTAACCAGGGTCAGCCTTGAGCTCCCCCTCTGTTTCATGATCCACAGAGATCACAAGGCAGCACCAGGCTCCCAACACACACAGTTAGGGAGTGATTCCCTCCCGACAGCTCTGACTTCAGGAATGGATTCATTAACCAGGCCACTTCTTCATGTCACCATCAGCACAGAGTCACCGAGCTACGGAGCCTTCACACTGCTGTGACCAAGCACCCGAGAGAAATGACTTAAAGGAGGAATGATTTATTTGGTCCCTACTGTTCACTATTCTTGAGTCTGTTGTTTCAAGGCACATGGTAAAGCAGAGCACCATCGTGGGCCCCTGGACATGTGACTGCTTTACCTCATGATCCACCTTCCCCAACCAAACGCACATCCTAACATGGCTCTTGCCCCCTGTCATGAGTTCGCTAACGTATCCAAGTTGTACTTCTCACGTGCCCATCAGCTAGCAGCATATCTGCAGTAGTGAGCCTGTAAGAACCATTTCCTGTCCAAACCATAGTGCCATCCTCCTGCCTCAGCTTCTAAAGGCTGGGATCGCAGGCATGCAACACCACACTTGGCATGATTTTTCTTTGCGTTTGTTGCTCAGCAAGAAGAAATGATGGGCTCCTTACCGGTTGGGCCATCTTTTTATGCAGCTTCGTAAGAGAACTTCGACAGTTGTTCTGTTGGAATTTTTATGTGGTGATAAATTTTTATTTGGTATGACATAATATTACCATAGTGCTCCCAGTCTGGCTATGACTTTTTTTCTGTCATACAGTTTATGTCTTTATGTATTCAGATTAGATGACACAGTTCTGAATCTCCATCTTCCCTTCTGTGAACACGTGACAATGACATCACCTCCATGGCGAGGTAAGAATAGTGTGAGGAACTCGCTGTGGTGTGGTAGTCCAACAGAGAGCAACTGCTCTTCTCCTTGGACGCACTGCACGGTTTAGAATCGCCTAAGGTTTTTGTTACAAGTGCGAGACGTAGTGAAAGCTCTTTAAATTAGGATTTGGAAATGTACAATAGATAACTGGATTTTTAGACCAACATGATTGGGTAATGAAAGGTTTTTTCTCTTAGTTTTTCTAATGCTCATCTTCAAAAAAAAGTGAGTACAGCCTGGCAAGATGGCTCAGTGGGTAAAGCCCTTGCTGTACAAGTCTGATGGCCTAGCTTTGAACCCCCAAATCCATGCAGAGGTGGAAGGGGAGAGCAGACCCACAGAGTTGTGCTCTGGCTTCCCTGTGTGCCCCATGGCCCGGATTGCTGCACCTACACATCCTATACACATCCAGAATGAAAACGTAAGAATTAAAACTACTTACAGGACCCAATAGCTGCTCCGTCTCTTTAAACAGGAACGCCTGGGTCTGAGTGGCATGTGGGAAGATAAGGTTTTCTGAGTTACTTGTTAAGGATTTGGGAATATCTGTGTATGGTAAGAACTCCTTTCCTGCTCCTCTTTTCTATTTTATCAATCCAGCTAAGTCAAAAACACCAGAGCATGCAGTAGCCACCACTCTGCCTGCTTTTAAGGGGGTATGAAGATGAGTTTCCTGTCCCCTGTGCCTGTCAAACTTACTCCTGCTGCCAAGTGCATGTCAGGAGATGGACAGCAGTCCTGGGTCGCACAGACTGCGTTTTTGAAATGCTCTTAGATGGGCAGTAGTCACGTGTCACACAGACTGTGTTTATGAAATGCTTTTAGTTTTGGACCACTTAATGCTGAGACCTTTTCGTATTTTGGACTTTCAGAGTATCTGTTTATGTTAGTGTAATAAAATTCTAATATGACAATGTTGAAATAAATATAATTTTGTGGTGGGTGTGGTGGTACAGTTCTATAATTTTAATCACTCAGGAGATGGAGGCAGGAGGATTGCAAACTATAGGCCAGCCTAGACTACATGGCAGGATCCTGTCTCGTAAAACCAAAATAAAATGCAACATGAAATACTAACCTTGTTATGAAGGAGAGGTTGGAGTGTGCGTGTGTGTGTGTGTGTGTGTGTGTGTGTGTGTGTGTGTGTGTGTGTGTGATACTTACTCCATTCTATCTGCCTTGATAAGTATGCCATTAGGACTAGTGACATGGCTCAGTTGGTATTTGCTGAGAAAGCCGGATGGCCTGAGTTCAATTCCCAGAACCCGTGCCAAACTGACTCCACGAAGATACCCTTAGATCTCACATGCGCTCGGTGGCATATGCATGCTCCCCAACATACACTGGTAATAATAAGTAAAAGTAAATTTTAAGTAGATCATTAACCAGGTACTCTGGAGCCTGGGCAGGAGGAGCCGAAGTTCGAGGTCAGACTGGACTATGTAGTGTGATTTTTTTTTTTTTTTTAAATAAGGGATAGAGATATGGCTCAACTGGTAGAGTACTTGCCATGCAAGCACGAGGCACCGAGTTTGGATCCCCAGCACCCACATAAAAGCCAGAGTTGCACTTATGCAATCCCATTGCTGGAATTGGTGGTGGGGCAGGTTCAGGGACAGGCAGTCCTGGAGTTCATGATCAGTTCAGCCTGGTCAACTGGGGGACGGTTGCCAGCCTGGTGTCAGCCTCTGGCTTCCACACACACGCGCGCACTGCACTTCTGCACATACATATGCACACACACGCATATACACACAAGCATGAGCACACAAGCATGAACACACACACCACTTCTCAGAAACAACGGTGTGTGTGCACACACCAATGCATGGTAGAAATTGTTCTAAATGAATTCCAAGAATGACTTCTAAACATCCAGGTGCTTGATGTGACATTGACATTGACTTTGTGGTTTCTTGCTAACTTTAAGTTTGCTTTGCGGGGCTGATAAAAGTGTTTGCTGCCAAGCCTGATGGCCTGAGTTGAACCTGAGGACCCACATGGGAGAAGGAGAGAGCAACTCCCACGAATTTTTCCTCAGGCCTCAACATGCATGCGAGAGTAATACAGAAAGTTAAATTTGGGTGACTGTCTCTCTGAATCGTTCTTTATGTAGTGTTATTTAGTTACTTTAATGTCTTAATTTAAAGGTCTTATAAGATGTTACAAACATCAGGTAGCATTCCCTATGGAGTCAACCATGGCACATGATAGTTTTGAGAGCCACAGAGGTGGGCGGCACTGGCCTCCTTCAAGATGGCTGCCCTGCTGCATGTGTAAGTTGTTGCGTCTGCTGCGGCCGAATGTGAAATGCCAGCAGCCTGCTAAGAAAGATTTTCGTTTCAACTCCATCTTAACGACTGATTTTCCACAGGACACTATTAAAGCGACGTCAGTTTGCTTCCACAATTAGTTAAGATTGATTGCTGTCAAAATTAAGCATATTGGCAGGTCATCTTGTGTAAGCTTGTGTGTAGGATTGGAGGAAACTTAGATTTTCACTTGAAGTTGTTTGGGTTTTTTTTTTTTTTTTTTGGACAGCTTCCTTTTACCAGTTAGTTTCTTCTATTGACTGTTAATTTATCAACCCTTCTTTGAAAAAAAAAGTGAGAAGAGAGGCCACAGCATTATCACATTTCTATATGTGCGCGCCTCAAGCATATGGTGATTTCTAATTAGAATACAAAGGCTGTGGTAGACTCACTCCATGGCTGCTGCCATCGAAGACTTCCTCCATAGTGCTGCCATAGAAGGCATCACAGAGGAGGGGGCTTGAGGGACCTCCAGCAAGGACACTTTTGAGAGAAACAGTGGTCTGCAATTGTCCTTGTACGACGGGAGTCTGTCCTCCGTGTCTTCAGACGCACAGAATCTGAGAGAGTTTCTGATGTGCACATCAAGTTGGTATTTGGCAGCTAGCAATTCCATTCTGACTGCTCGATCCTCGCCGCCAGTAGCTGGGCTTGGTTTTTCTAAAAACCCCCTCAATGTTTAGTTTCCCGTGCACCCTCTCAGGGGAGATTTCAAAGGGTACTTGCTGGATGCTTGACGGCCTTGCCTGTTGGCTGTTGTTTGGCCTGCAAGCGAGAGTCAGCCGCTTTCTGCTCCTGTGTACACATAGGATTAATGGATTTACTCTGTCTGTATCGTCTCATTACTGGAAACATCTAGAAGCTCAGAAGTCTTTCAATGTATGCAAATAAGGCAGGATCGTCTACCTGAGAGTTAATATTCTCTGCTTTTTAAGTGTATTCTAAATCTAATGTTTGTATTTAGAGCAGATCACCCTGTTCTCTTTTTTTATGGGCAAAAAGCTAAGCAGACTCAGGCAGCTGTTTGATGTCGGCTTCAAGTGTTATTAATTTCATATTCTATTATTCTTTTCACTGTAGTACAAGTGAAGCTGATGTGGAGGCTGTCATGGATAAGTTGTTTGATGAGCTGGCCCAGAAACAAAATGATTGTACGTAAGTTAATTTCTCTTGAAAGAGAATACATTTGGAACACAATGCCCAATCTCCACTGACCAATTAATAAGTCCCATTGCTGTCTATGGGTTGATGCCACGCTCGAGTGGCAGTCATTGTATCAGCGTTTTGTCTAATTTATGTGTTGAATCATGTGCTATTATTCATCAAGCTATGCATTTCCTATCTGTAAGAGATGAATTTTATAGTAATTATCCAGACAAGATTGAGTCTTTGTTCATGTTCCCATAGTAACTAGACCAAGGATTCTAAAAGTGCAAGGGAGAGAGCTGAGGCTGAATAAAGCCTGTGGAACCATTGCCGACTGCACGTTTGAAGAGCTGTGTGAGAGGGTGAGTATCCAGGCCTGGCCAGACTGGCTGGCCCTTTCCCATGTTAAAATACTTCACGTCTTCCCTTCAGCCTGTTTCAGATTTTAAAATGCTCTTCACAGAGTCAGAACTGAGGTAAAAGTCTCAATCAGGGAAATTTTCATCTATTTGCCAAGCCGTTTTCATAGGTACTGGCACAAAATCTGCTCTTTAAGGCCTTTCCAGAAAAATCAAAACTGAGACATGCAGAGGCCACTGTCGACTGTGGCTGGAAGCCGAAGCAGAATCCTCGTCAAGGCTCTTTTGTAAAAGTCCTTTATGAGGGAAGTAAGAAACACCGAGGTAAGGGCTGGCGAGATGGCGCAGTGGGCAAGGACGCTTGCAGCCAAGCCCAGCCCCCTGAGTTCGATTCCCCGGTCCCATATGGTGGAAGAAGAGAACACCTCCCATAAGTTACCTTCTGGCCTGTGTGGTGAGATGAGTGTGTGGGGAGAGGAGGGTGAGTGGCGGGCGTCCTGTGACCTAAGGAAGTGTGTCATTAGGAATTGCCATTCCCCAAATTCATTGTCATGCTTCTGGGCCACATCTGAGCCGTTTGGACCAGGTGAAGGGAAGTCAATGTATAGAACTATGGCATTAGTATTATATCATAAATAGTTTGTCTTACAGATGAAATACATGCACATGCCCGCCCCCCATATATTAGAAAGTCTTTGCAGCTCTGTTATAGATATGAATTCTGTCTTTCTGAAGTTTGGGACTTCTCCGTGCTCAGTAGAATATTTAATGTCAGCATCCAGTCTAAGTCTTGAGAAATTCAAGGAACTTTGCACATAACTCCTCAGTCGAGCATCACCCCCGGTCTCTGATTTTGGGTAACTACAGAAGAGCTGTTTGGAGGCAAAGGGAAGGCCCTTTTCATTTATGCCTGCCGAGTAGGGAGTGAGCATGTTTCTACTTGTAGCAGGCAAGAATTTGTCACCTTTCAACCAGAGATGGTACCACCTTTAAAGCAGTGGGTACCCTGCAGTTGCTTAGCGCTTTAGAAGGAATACAGTTAGGATTAATTGCGAGCCTCTGGTGGCGACCCACCCTCTGTACCCACTGTGGCTGACGTGACTCTTCCTGCTTCTACCAGCGCATCAGTGTTAAGGTCAAAGTCACCTGTCTTGCAGGGAGAAAATCTTCTTGTGCTTCCGTTTAGACTTTACTGTCTTTGCTAAAACAGACCCTCTTGCGAAGGATGAAGCTCTTCCTCTCTCTGCAGTAGGACACCTAGTGAGGAGAGGGAACAGGCAGGGGTATGGAGTCCTGAGGAGGCCAGGGCTCCCTTGGGGCACATTCTGAGTGTCTGTATTTCTTTCCTAGGCTCATTAGTTCAGGACACTTGGTATCAGAAAGAGGCCATTTAGAATCCCAAATCTCTTATAATCTCTTTACTGCTCAGTGGTGTGATGGAAAGAAGGTTGGTCGGGACTTAGTATTGAAAAATGAAAATAATGCCAACATAACTCACTTTTATTTGACAAAAGTTTGGATTGAGCAACAGCTATGAACTAGACTCTCAGAACCAACAATAACAAGATTTCCATGTGGTTTTGGCATAACTATCATGTCAAAATTCTAGAACAATAAACCATTATGTCCTTCACTTCACGACTTGGTTGTTGAGTTGCGTGGGAAACCTTTTCTATAAAACATTCCAGGATTTCACGTCTTTCTGGGTATCTTTTCAGTGCATGAACACTCCAGGTGTTTGTGTTTGGCATTTCTGTGGTGTCGTTACCCCCGTCAGGTTTGTCCTTCCTCTGGTTAGCTAGACCCTTCACTCGCCAGTTGCGTGCATGGGTGAGTTCGCCCTTTATCCCATGGTAACTGGAGCATTTTCTGCATTGGACAAGCCCCGAATGACTACAAGATACTGGATGAGGGATGTGCTCAGTTTCCCCGTGTTGTGCTCAGATGAAGGACGTCTGAGGAAGGGCTAAATTTTTAAGTGGTCAGTTCCTCGCTGCTATTTTCTTATTATGGTGATTCTGCATTTCTTTGCAGCCTTGTAATTGTGGCAATTCAGAGACTGAATAGTTGCATGAAGAGGCTCCTTGAAATCATTCAACTTCAGATTTAGCCTAAAACTCTTAATTAGTTATAATGATTCTGTGATCCAGACTCCATGGTTGCCAAAAGATGTTCAGTGAAGATAAAAACAGCACATCCAACCCAGGTATGGGAGTCAATATCTGGGTGCCTGGTTCCCGCTTAGGATTACATAAGCTGGTCTCTGGAAGGCCTGAGCCCCACTCAGCTGCTGCTACTGACATCATCATGGAAAAAAAAAAAAAACAAACATTAATCCTGCAAGGAGCAAATGCTTTGACACTCTGCAGTGGCTGGTTTTGAGCCACCGGGGGAGGGAAATAAGATTTCTGTAGACTTTTAAGTGGGTAGCAACTCATCTACAGTGTGTTAGTTAGTAAGGTAACAGAAGGTTTTAACTTGAAGTCCTTGACATATTCCATAAGTCAGCCAAACAGGCCCAGGGCATTGCACCTGGACATTCCTCTCTCTTCTCTCCTCCAAGCACAGTCTCACATCTGTAACCCTGCAGATCAACATCTAGTTTCTTGTTATCTTCAGTATTCTCTCTCTTCACAAGTCTGATTCAGCACCGTCATGCTCAGAGAACCAGTCCAAATTAGGAGACCCCTCGACAGCCATATAAAAATAATAACTAACAGAGCCATGCAAAAGGCATCATTCTAAGCATTCTTTGTGTGTTGGTTTGTTTAATACCATGAAAGGTAGTGCTATTATTGTCCCATTTTATAGGTGGAGAAATAGAGGCACTGAGATGTTAATTAGCTTTCCTCAGGTCACACTGCTACTAAATGGCAAAAGGAGGGCTTGAACTCTTGCTGGTTTGGGAACAAGATGCTATATTCTTTCCTTCTACATTACCCCTGGGAGTGTCTGGCAGGTTCTGCCTCAGTTCATCAGTAGAGTTCAGATTGTGCTGTGAAGTCTACTCAGAGTCTTTGCACACTTCCACATCTGAGGTAAACTTAGACTTGGATAGGGTGTGAAGCTAGCTGGAGAAGCAGATGCCTCCAGTCCTAGAGGCCCTCCATACAAATACTGCTGCTTTCTCTCCCTGCTGTGATGTGGAAAATGCCTTCTTAGAGGGCTGTGGGGAGCAGGGGTGGGGTGGGGGGGTTTGATGAACTTTGCTCCTGCCATTCCCTTCCTATCAGAGCTACCCCAAAGAAAAGTGAAGCCAGATGATGTATGTTTTCTGGACCCAGAGTGTGGCGTGTCTAGTAGTTCTTTATGTCAGTGGTTTGCATGGAGTAGTTGTAGACCTGTAGGGTCCCTGTGAGCCCCCAGGAGTCCTGAAATCCACATACTGTCTGTGCAGACAGAGGACACTCAGCTCTTCTCACCGGGGGGGAGATTTCCAGTAATGGTGCTATAAAAGTGACAGGCAAAACCCGCTGAATTAAGACAGTGGCATCACACCATGCTGTGACCTCCATGGCTGGGCACTCACAGAGTCCCCAAAACCGAGTGGAGACAGCTCCATCGAAGCCCAGTCCCCACAGGGCAGGAAAGATGACTCATTTCGTTAAGTTTCAACTTTGAGAACGTGTGCTCCCAATATTTTTTTTTTCCTTTTGGTGAGGAAATGAGAGGAGCCTTTATGAGACACTCCCGTATACCAAATATCATGGCTACCTTGAGGGAAAGATCCCCTCCTCCCCCCCAGAGAGTACCAGTTCTTACATAAAAGACTGAGTGACAGACTGTGGTTGTTCAGCTTGGCAGACATTTCCTCACAGTGTTTGACAGACATTTCTTGGAAATGAGTGAAGACTGTCATTTCAAGTAAAACAGTGAGCAATATTTGTTACCAGTGATGCAGTGTGAGCAAAGGAGCCATATTTGTTACCAGTGATATCGTGTGAGCAAAGGAGCCATATTTGTTACCAGTGATGCAGTGTGAGCAAGCGAGTGAAAGTTACCATTGGGGCACTTGTGTCTGCCATCATGATACCAACAGCTTCCCAGTTCTTAACATTTTTTTTTTCTGGTGAGATTGATGGTGATCTCAACAAATGCAGAATTTCAGGAGTTTGGGGAAGAGGAGAGGAGAGGAAACAGGGTTAGAACAGTCTCTCTCTGTGATTTGGCTGGCCTTGAACTCCTCGTCCTCCTGGTCAGCCTTCCTATGTCTGAGATCACAGGTGTTTGCTCCCATGTCTAGCTAAATGTTTTGGTAATTATATAATTAAACATTTCAACATTTGCAAGGTCTAGTTTATTGGAACAACATTTCCCAATAACTAACTAATGCATCCTCTTATAAAATCATACATGACAGAAGAAAAAGGCAGAAAGATTAATAGAAAATAATAATTCAAAAGTATAAGCTATATATGGTGTCATGCCCCTGGAATCCCAGCATTTGGGGGGCGCTAGGTCAGGAGGGTTGGGAGTTTGAGGCCAGCTCGAGCTACATAGTACACTTTTCCTCAAAAAGCTGGGGACCAGGGTGATGGCGGCCGAACAGGTAGCCTCTAGCCTTGTGGCCTGATTCGAGCTCATCGATCCACACAGCAGAAAGAGAGAACCAACTCCAGCAAGCTGTCCTCTGACCTCCACACGTATGTGTGACACATCTAAGTAAGTGTAATTTAAAAATGCACGCACATGCACGTACTTGTGCCCACGCCAGAACTGGTTCAGAGTCTACTGTGCAACTAACATTTTAGAAACTACGTCTTGTGAGCTTCGTTAAACAGGTTAGATCAGCTGACAGTGAGAGGAGCCTGGGTGTGGTGGCTCATACCTGTCACCAACAGTTAGGAGACTGAGCACGACGGTCACCGTGAGTTCAGGGTACCCAGTGAGCTCTAGGTCAGCCTGTGCTGCAGTGAGATATTGTCTCAGAAAGCTTAAAAGAAGACAAGAAGAGGAGGAAGAAAGAAAAAAGGAAAATGGAGAGCTGTAAGCGCCCGCACTTGCCGGGCCGAGGTCACCTGCTATGGCCACGAGGAACGAAGTCAGGCCAGTTGGAGGGGCCACAGCACAGCCGAGGCCGTGACAATTTTATCGAGAGCAATCAGACTTTTCATACCTTTATCAGAAACGGAAGATAATGGCAATTGCCAGGATCCATACAGCTGTAGTGGCCAGGACACAGTGAAGTTGGCAGGCCACACAGGGTCCACAAGATTAATGTCTAAGACCAGCTGTCCTGTCACGTTCCCATGCGTCCTTGACTACTAAGGGAACATACAGAGAAACACACAGCAGCCTGAACGCTTCACTGCCGCTGAGTGCACCAGTCTCTCAGGAACTGGAAGGCGCACTATGCCCCAGGAGCCATGGACTCGAACCTGAGAAACCAGTGACCTATGCCTCTCAAGGCGGCGAGGCCAGGCCGACTGACTCCATGGTTCCCTGCAGAGGTTGTAGTACAGAGTGTTTATATCTGCTCCCAAATCTAGGTTCCTTTATTGTTAACACCTTCTATTAATGTGTTTGGTACATTTAATGAACAAATATTAAATACATTTTTCATGTTATTACTATTTTGCCGGTAAGGTAGCCTGAACTCCTGAGCTCTCTGAAACAGTATTATTAAGTTTCTACTTTATCCACACTTCCTTATTTCGATCTAATGTCCCTTCTCTGTCCTAGGATGCCATTGACTTCTGAGGTTATCATCTCCTTAGTTCCTAACTGTCACAGTTTCTGAGACTTTTCTCGTTTTTGATGACCTTGGCAGTTTTGAGGAGCCCTAGCCAGGCATTTGATGACAGAATGGTGTTTTTCTCCTGAGGCCTCCCTGTAAGCCTTCCTCACGCTCGCCCTCAACAGTGCTGCTCCGATTTTTCACACGAAGTTGTCTTTTCCTCCAATCCAGTTCCCTTTTGTCTTTATAGCATCAAGGAACAATCCTATAATAATCTGGAAAGGCTATTGGAAATAACTTTCTAACCACTGACCCACAAGCCAAAGCATAACTAGTTTTAAAATGTTAGGGGTTTAATGTAATGGTTTTTATGATTGTGGATTGCAATGGATTTAAACAATTAAAATTCTACTCCGTTTTAATTTCTAATGTATTAATAAAAAGGTTAGGAGAGAGAACCCATGTAAATGAAAGTTCCTGAGGTTCCTTGATTATTCTTAAAGGAACAGAGGGCCTGGAACCACACAGCACCCAGGGTCCTCTTGCATTACAGTTAAACTTTTGTGACCCCAAAATGAAGGAATCATTTCAGAGAAAGCAAGCCAAAGCTGAATTCTAAAGCCTTAATGAGTAAACTGGCTATTCCTCAATTTTCCTTTTGAGAAATGTAATTTTTACACCTGCAGAAAATTGGTTCCTCAACCAATAACTGCGTTCACAGGTAACTGCAAGAGCACTTCATTATTTGTGGTTTAAAAATGACAGGTAGCCAGGTGTGTTTGCAGAAAGTCTGCGCAGAAAATACACCAACCCATGCATATGCATGGCTGTTTGTAGATGTTCACCGTCACCTTCCTCTCTCTCTCTCTCTCTCTCTCTCTCTCTCTCTCTCTCTCTCTCTCTCTCTCTCTCTCTCCTGCTCACTTGTTTGCCCTTACTGCTCAAGGAATAGATATCTCATGTACTGGCCTCCCTCTGTCTGTTACTCTCAACTAAATCGTATTGGTTTATATGTTGTTAACCTGGAAGTCTTACCAAATCGGATCTTCTGGAGAATTCGTGAATGGAGCCCTCCTTCAACTGCCTGCTTTATTTGGTTTTATTCCTAATGAAACCACTGGTTGGGAACTCATTCTGGTGTGTGCCTGTCTTGGCACACTGTCAGGAAATGCTAAAGGATGAATAGCTTTTATCGGTGTTATTTGGCCAAGGCTGCAGGCTGGTAGTCTTTGGATGCTCCAGTGGTAATTAGCATCAGGATGAAGGCATTCATCAGCAGGCTGAGGCAGCCCAGGAATCTCTGTGGCCCTCTCTCTTCCCAGCAGCAAGAGCATTCTTGAGGAATTCCTTGTTCCTTGCCTATGCTGACTCCTGACAAAGCCATGCTCTAAATAAGGCGGTAACCACCCTCCCTAAAACAGAAGTAACAGGAAAGCCTGAAGGGACTTAGACCTTAGTGGAAAATTGGTCTGCTTCTTGTAGGATTCTGAGTCCAATGCCATGCGTTTTGTTCTCTGTCTTTCCTGCCATGATCCTGGTCGGCTCTTTCAAGAGTCGCAGTTGCGGTGTTAGAAGGCTCCTTCTCTGTCTCTCCCACGTGTTGGCCAGGGCGCATCTTCCGTAACCCTGGCCTACGCTTGTAGCATCATCACTTTGGGGATGCACTGTAACCTACAGAGAGGAATGCAGAGCATGTTCAGTTAGGTATAAATGTCACCCACGTGGGGTCTTAGAATGATAGAGGGTTTGGGAACAAATTCTCATAATTGCCCTAGACCACAGTTTGATTTAAAAAGGCAAAGTGCACACAAACTGCTTGGCCCGTGCGCCGATTTCATTATTCTGAGACTGGGGCCGTAAAGGAGAAAATAGTTCCCTGTCAGGCTGTAGGTTTTCACTAATTGTTGACTGATTTGTGTCTTCCAAGAAAATCTCTCTATATATTAGGTTACAGGTTGTTGACACTTTCTATGTGTTTTACCAGTTTAAAAGGAAAAGCAAGAAAAAAAAAAGACTTTTAGAGATGTAATCATGAGAGAGAGGCTAGATTAGAAATTTGAAAACTTTAGACATAGAGTCGTGGTGGTCATGTCCATAGTGAACGGGAACATGAGGAGGAGTCAGAAGGAAAGGAAAACGGGCTTAAGAGACACACTCCTATGTTCTCTCTCCATGAACTTTGTTGTTGTTGTTGTTTTTTCAAGACAGGGTCTCTCTGTGTAGTTTTGGTGCCTGTCCTGGATCTCCCTCTGTAGACCAGGCTGGCCTCGAACTCACAGAGATCCACCTGCGTGTGCCTCCTGAGTGCTGGGATTAAAGGCGTGCACCACAGCCGCCTGGCCTCTGAACATTTCTGTTGGAGGGCAAATTCTTAGGACCCTTTGCCCCTGTGTCTGTTTTCAAACTTGATCAAGAACGGAACTTTGGTGGCTGCTGTTTATGGCTATAGACCATTTTTTTAAAATTTCTTTTATGTATATGAGTATTTTGCCTGCACACACCTGGTGCCCCTGGAGGCCAGGAGAGGGCGTCAGATCTCCTGGAACTAGCATTACGGATGGTTGTGAGCTGCCACGTGTGGGTGCTGGGGAGCCAGCCCAGGTCCTCTGCAAGAGCAGCCAGTGCTCTAAGCCGCTGAGCCATCTCTCCAGCCAGGCTCTAGACTGTAAACTCTGCAAGCCGTGGACTTCTCAAACTCCGCTGCTGCTTCTTTGAGGAAAAAAACTAGCAGAATACTTAATGTTATGCCATTTGTGACTGGTTTTAAAAACTGTCCATTCCCTGCATGCTGGAGGCCCCAGGGATTCCTAGAGGGTCTCAGGGCAGGGGGGAGAGTACCAACAACAGCACACTTTCAAGATGGCCTTTGTCTCAGGGATACAATTATTTTGTGGATCAAATCTAGTACCAGACAAGAATCCTCATATTTTATTAATTTTTAAATTTTGTCATAGAGAACACGATTTGAGGCACCTTCTTCATACTTTAGATCAGTTGACTGGAAATCATTTAGTATTTATCATATTGCCAATTAGGATATGTCATTAGATGTTTTATTACTTTGAAATACGTGTTATAGAAAAAGTTTAGAAATTGTTAAAAATATATTGTTTTGTTTCCTAAAATAATAGTGAAATGTTGAACCAAATAGAAGATTTTGAGGGGGGAAATCCTATTACTGTAGTATTGTAGGAATTATAAGATTGTAACATATTTTAGGGCCAGATATTACTAGTGTCTCAGTGTTCATCAAGAATGTGTCTGGGGCTGAGAAGATGGTTTGGCAGTTAAAGGCACTTTCTGCTCTTGCAGAGGACCTGAGTTGGATTCCCAGCATCTATATGGCCCCTCACAAACATCTGTCACTCCAGTCTGGGGGATCTGATGTCTCTTTCTGACCTCTGTGGGCACCAGGCACACACATCATACACACATATGCAGAAAAGGCACTTATACTCATAAAATAAAAACAAGCCTATTTTTTAAAAAGGAAACATGTCTAAGGGCCGGTGGGCTGGCCTAGTTGGTGGAAGAATGTGCCATGCAGCCCTGGCCTCAGTCTTTGAAACATGGAGGAAGGAGAGAGCCAGGTCCTCAGTGGTGCCCTCCAATCCTTCACACACTTGCTGTGGCATGTCCACACTCTGGCACATGTGTGCCCATACTCAAACATACATCATATACACACGCCACAGTAATAATTAAAGTTTTTTGAAAAGCAATATATCTAAAATTTCCACCTCAAGATTAATATATTGACTCAAGGGTCAGCAACTATTTCCTTAGTGCTTTCATGTCCATATGCTTTTATTGTGAGAAATATAAAAATAAATATCAGGAAGTTTCTGTCAGGGCCAGTGAGCTGACTCAGTGGTAAAGACTTCCACTAAGCCTCGTTGTTCGTCCAGTTCCTGGGGTCCACATGCTGGAAGGAGAGAACTGACTCTCCCCAGCTAGAGTCCTCCGCCTCCTCTTCCTCATAGATCCCTGAACCCAGGAGTTTTAGGCAGCTTTGTGAAGCTGTGCGGGCCCCAAAGGGCTGCTGCTTTCCCCAGCGTGTTCCCGGAGACCGAGGAACAGGACTTCCTCCTGGGGAGATTGGGCTACAGCACCCAACATGCTCAATACTGTTTATGCTGCCTTGTGCAAGCTAATGGACAGACTCCTGCCCTTCTTACAGTGTAGGACTCTTTTCCATAACCATCAGCAAGTATTTACTGAGTGTGCAATGGAAGGCCGGCTCAGTTCTAGGCACAGTGAGGGGCTGGGTACAGGATGAAGAAGAGTCGGTCTCCACTCTCACTGTCTCAGTTCAGAAGAGAAAATGTGATGAGTGCCGGAGTCAGTAGACTGAGCAGATTATTAGCACGACAGGATATGTCCGAGCAGAATGCTGGGGGTGATGAGAAGGAGGAGCCCAGCCCTGAGAGCTGCAGAGTTAGCGATTCTGATGGCGCTGGGAGGGTAGGGATCTGAGAGAGATGCTCACCCTGGAGGCCACTTCCGTGTTTTCTCCCTCCAAGGTCTCATGTCGCTGTGGAGAACGGAGCTGTAAATGATAGAGCTGATTCAGCGGCATCTGGAGCCAGGAGGAGGGTTGTCACACTTCCACAGTGATGGGGACAGCTTCTATTTGACCAGCCCCCTTGTTAACCACACCTGTAAATTCTGGACGACATCTTAAGAACAACTGGCCCAATGACAAAAGCACAGAGGAATTGGGGCGCAGTCAACTCTGGGAAGAGAGGATTGATTGTAGTGAGTTTATCATTTTTATAGTTGTTGTTGCTATTTTTTTTTTCCTAAAGGTAGATCACAGTTTATCTTAGTTGTCGAAAGTTCAATAGAATCCAGCTGGGTTTGTGGCCTGGGAGCCACGGCGGGCGGGAGGAGGCGGGGGGTGGCAAGCATGTGACCACAGCAGCTAAAAACACAGAGAAGGAGGAAACGACCACAAAGGGACAGTCTGCGGACAAGGCTCAGGCTGCCTGTGGACTGTACGCGCACAGCAAAGAAAACAGCAAAAGCCTGGACAGAGGCGTCCGTGTGGTGTGTCTCACAGAAGACAGTTTAAAGTCTGAGACTGCCTCGGTTAATTATCTGCTAAGGTGGGAACACTGAAATAAATCAGTACATCTAATAATCCCAACTCTGCACAAGCCAGAGGACCCCAATCCCTAGGTGTAGGCAGGTGCCAGAAAACGACCCACTTTTAAAAGAGAAGGTAACTAACAGAGACAGCCTGGGACGATACAAATGTGGGGATCACAGGTGAAATGTTAAAATCGCCGGGCGGTGGTGGCACACACCTTTAATCCCAGCACTCGGGAGGCAGAGCCAGGCGGATCTCTGTGAGTTCAAGGCCAACCTGGGCTACCAAGTGAGTTCCAGGAAAAGGCGCAAAGCTACACAGAGAAACCCTGTCTCGAAAAACCAAAAAAAAAAAAAAAAAAAAAAAAAAAAAGAAATGTTAAAATCACGTGTATTTGTTAATGGGGATCGGGTGGCCGCAGGGCAGGGTGTGTGTGGAGGTCAGAAGACAGTGGATGGAGCCCTCTCTTCCAAACACGTGGGTCCCAGAAACTGGACTGGGGTTGTTAACTTTGGTGGTAGGTGCCCAAAACTTTAAACTATCTCACCAGGCTAGACAGAGTTTTCAAAGTAGCCACGTTCTATAGGTAAGTTCAAAGGTATAAAGGAAAATATACTAGTAGTAGTGAGTAAAAAATAGGAAATCTTGGAAGAGAAGGTGGAAATACAAAAAAGAAACAAATGAAAATCCTGAAGTTAAAAACTCTGGAACCTGGTACAGAGACGGCTCAGCGCTCAAGAGCAAGCATCGCTCTCACTTAGGACCCACATCAGGAGCTCACAACCACCCACTCCAACCTCAGGGCATCTGGCTTGCAAGGGCAACTGCACTCCCGTGCACACACTCCCATGCGCACACTCCCATGCGCACATTCCCATGTGCACACTCCCATGCGCATACTCCCCATGCACACTCCCCATACACACACTCCCATGCACACACTCCTATGCACACACTCCCATGCACACACTCACATGCACACACTCCCATGCACACTCCCGTGCACACAATCCAAACCCCACTCCTGCTCTTGCTCATACACATAATTAAAAAAAATTAACCATAAAAATATTCTAGATCTAGGGCCTTGCGCAGTGCTCAGAAGATAAAGTTTCTTGCCATGTATGAAGATAAGAGTTCAGATTCTAATTCCGTTACCTGTGTAAGAGCTAGCTATCCAGACTAGCTGAGCCAGAGAGCTCCAAGCGCATCCAGAAACTCCTACCTCAGTAAACAAAGTAGAAAGCAATTGATGAAGACACCCAGCATCGACCTCTGACCTCCATATATGTGCATGTACACATGTATGTGTGCTCCCGCAGATGTGTGCTCACACAGATGTGCACACACACACAATTCTAGACCTCAAACTTTAGAAAATATATGCTTAATAGCACGAAGCAGAGGTAGAAGGATCCTGTGACCTACATAGAGATCTGTGGTCTGCATGAGTTACAGTTAGCCAGGCCTACACACTGCCTCACTAGACTCTGTCTCAAAAACAACAGCAAAATGAAAACAAAATTACGTAGTCTTGAAAACTGGAAGGGATGCAGAGCGAGCTCAGGGAAGCGCTTGCCATACATGCAAGCTCAGGAAGCTGCATTTGATCCAAGGACTCACCTGGAAAAGCTAGGCTTGGTGGGCATGACTGCGATCCCAGCAGGAAGTGGGTGGAGCCAAGCAGATCTCTGGGGCTTGCTGCCTGTTCAGTCCAGAACCCCAGCCATGGAGTAGTGCTGTCCACGTTCTGGGTGGGTTTTCCCACCTCAGTTAACTTAATCTAGAAAACTAGAGCTGCGAAGGCAAAGCAGTGACCTCCGAGTTAGCCATGACTCATCTCTCTCCATCCAGAAAAAGCGCTGAGTGGTAAGTTGGGGTGGGCTAAGGCTGTCCAGGGTTTTCTTGAATGTTTTCATAAAATTTGGGCTGCAGATAATTCAAGGTTGTCTTCTTGGCAAGAGGACGGAGTGTATAATTCTATCCACAGTGTTATTCATGGTTTGAAGGGTTTGGCCCTTTGTATTCTCGGTGGCACGGAGAGGCATTCAGCCTTGCTCAGATGAATCGCCGTCTTATGCAGTGTTCTCGTGATGGGGAAAGCAGAATGGGAGGAAGAATAATAACTCTTCTATGTCCACTTCATCTCCAGTTCTGATTGCACTTTTGGATGTCTAAGCCCAAGAGGATTCAGTTTGTCCCCAGTGGGCCCTCGCAAAGGAAGTCAGACGGCAACAGCAAAACCCAAACCAACCAACAGTCTAGCCAGCAAACAAGACTCGGGCCGCTGGACCTCTGCCCTACACGGCTTCGCCATGTGCAGACGTTAGCGTCCTGGCGTTTAAAATGAGTTCTTCATTATCTAAAGCCTTTCCTGCCTTACACACACACACACACACACACACACACCCTGCTGAATGTCCCTGATCTTACCACTAACCCGATTCCCAAAGAGGAGCAGCAGAGCTCACCCACAGTTCACACACATGTGCAAACCACGGCCAGTGAGGCCAGAACCTGACCTGGCATCCTGTGAGGAGTCTCCAAATCTCTGAAAAGATCCCAAAGCGGACACATTTACAGTGCGCAGCGCCTTCATTTCTCAGCCACAGGAAATGCTGCCCTCTGCTGAGAGATGTTAGGAGACTCCGTTATGTAAGTGGCCAAGTGCAGGTACTGACTTGTCAGTTTTGAGCAGGCCTATGTGGTTCTTTACCACTCTCCTGTAGATGTCTAGCTAACACATTACATTTAAAAATAGAACAGGGGAAGAATGGGAACACCTCACTGTGGGCTTCACACCTTTATCATCCCTGTAGTCTTTACAGTCAGATACCATCATCCTCCGTGTGAGACACCCCTAACAATGGTTATAGCCAGCTAGTCAAATAGCTTTCCGAGAGGGAAAGGGGGAAGGGTTGTTAGAGCATTATTTTAATAAATGGGTCTGTGAAATAATTCTGGTGCCACTTGGGCTGTTTTTCTTCCTCTTGCCAGTCACTTTTTTTCCCAGTATCTGCTCAGTTTCTAATCTCCAGATTTGTATTCTCCAGAAAACTAGCTGCTTCTGAGGCTATGAGAGTTCCTTATTGTTTTAAAGACGTAACTCTAGGCGTTTAACGGCTGAGGGTCATGTTAAGCTGCCTTTCGACCATAGCCCTTAAGGAGACTAAACTGGAGATGTTGCTCAGTGCTAGAGAACTTGTGAAGGGTCTGCCTGTAATCCCCAGCTCTGCCCAGCTCATCAATAAAACTAAAATAATTGCACTAGCCAGTGAGGCCCGGGGTGAAACGTGGAGGTGGAACGTGTTTAGTGTATTCCAGGCCCTAGATTCAGCCCTGTCACCACACCCTACTCTCTCCTGAAACCACCCAAACCCCACATAACAGTGAAGCAATTGTAGAAGCCATCACATACATTGATGGTATGTCTTTGAAAAGAAAAGACAAAAAAGACTTGTTGTCTGTGTTCCCGGATGTGGGGAGCGCAGATAAAAACGCAGAGCGGAGCGCACTGGTCAACTCGCTTGACTTAGTCCCATTTTTCTAGAACCTGGTCTGCCAAAGGTGTTGGCCTGAAGAACAAGGGAGCCATGAGGAACAGAATCCAGTGATCCAAAGTGTTCTGGTGGCTTCCAATAAAATGAAAGGGAGCACCTCAGCTCTCAAACTTGAAGACCTCTTGAGAGAGCTAGCAGGAGAGTGTGGGGAGCCACACTCCCCATCGGGTAGCTTCCGAGACATGCTTAGCCAGCACCTCTGAAGACCCCTGTTCCCCAGCCTTACAACCTGAAGAGGCAGCCTGGTTTCTCCTGGACTCCAGACTGCCTCCTCACTGTGCCTCACCCCGCAGCTGGGAACTCAAGCTTCATAAACACCCAGGCAGGACGTTCTTGCTCTACAAGTGTTTGAGTGCCCGAGTCTCTGAGCCACCCTAGACCATTCACCATTTTCACTCTGTTGTATGGGTGAACCCGGCTTATTGTTTCCAAAGAGGGGTGACTCTCAACCCCCTCTAAGTTTTCGATGTGTGTGACGCACCCGGGTGCCCCATCCTGGCCAGCCAGCCGTTTAAGGAACTGTGGTCTGTTTACTTGATCCGAGGCTGTTCCTATGGCACGGGCCGTATCACTGCTCTTGCCGTCTTTATGTGCTGTCTTGGGGTGTGTGGTGCTCACAGGCAGTGGTAATTGCTAGTAACTGCGTCTAGTGATCACGGTTTCCCGTTTCTTCATATTCCCACTCTTAAAGATTATTTTATTTATGTGAGTATGCCACATGTGTGCAGCTGTCCATGGCCAGGGGAGGGCGTCAGATCCCCTGGAGCTGGAGTCACAGGTGGTGCCAGTCTCCTCCTCTGAGCACTGACAGCCCAGCTCTGGTCTGAGAAGAGCAATAAGTGCTCTCCTGCCGTGTCCCTGTACCAGCCCTCCTCACATCTTTCCAACGCTGCTCCTAACCAGCGCTGCATTACATGCATTAAATGCTTTTCTGCCAACCACTGGCACTTCCTCCACCACCACCCCCCGCCCAGCTAACCTGGAAGTACTCCCAGGACTAAATCAAGCACACTTGTCACATGGGGGGCTCTCGGAGCTGACTGATGTGCCTTGTGATCTGAGGCGGTTGTCAGTTCCACGTTCTCCAGTAACTAGGCTCCTGCAGAAATTGCACAAGGCTAGTTGAGGTGGTGGGAGGGAGACAGAGGGGGGAGTGTCGGGGTGGGGGAGGTTTACCTTTAGTGTTTCACCTTTACTTTTTGTTTGGTCATTGATTCTTCAAACTTGCTGTTAAAATCGGACTCCCCGGGAGTACGGTATTGAGCACCAATGGGGCAGACCTGGGCGGAACTTGCCTCTTGACTTTGAAATTCATTAAGGAGGATGAGTTTCCTCAGCACTCCCACAACACCTTTGGATAGTTCATGAGAGTTGGTAGGAGGTCCTAGCAGGATTGGTATATGGCGAAGTATTCCCAGCTGGCTCTTACGGGCTTCATATTCCTGAGATTTCTCAAATCTGACTCTTGGGGAAATACTTACTCTACTAATACATTTCATGTTCTGTTTTCTAATTACAAATTTGGAATCTGACAGCTATAAGTTGTTTAATGTCAACTCACATGGTATTTTTGGTTTGTTTTGAGAAGGGCACACTCACCCTAACTCCCATCAAGCATTTGTCCCTGGGGTACTTCTGGAACGGAGGTACAGCCATTTCTGTGTAAACAAAGCAAGACGCCACACACACTTATTTAATGAGATGCTCTCAGGGTACCACTGCAAGGGTTTTTTAAAGAAAAGGCTATATAGATGAAGAATGACTCTTAGGATGGTATAATCTAGACAGAGCCTGAAATGATAATCATCCCACTTGAGCTAAAATAATGGTGCAGAACAAGCTTTATAGTAAGAACGAGGAGAAAGAAACTGGAGCTGACAGCTCCTTGGCGGATGCTGAAGTGGCCGCTGCTCACTGCAGGGCAGAGGGCAGCCTGGGGGCGGGGCAGTTCACACTGGCGGCAGCATGGAGAAAATCCTCACTCCTGGCACCAGGGTCGAAACCAAAGCAGACAGCTGTGCTATTTCTCACACAGGAGAAGGAAGAGAGCAAGCAAGCTCTTTATTCCTCAAAGTTTGTCAGAGAAACTGCTACGTATAATGCAGCTGTATACTCCCGGTAATTAAGGAAAACAAACGCTCTTTGCAAACTCATTATAGATTTAAAGTTCCTTAAGTTTCCATCAGGTTTCCACAGAAACAAAGAGTTTGAGACAATAGTGGAGAATGCACACCATCGAATAAGTGGATTTTAATTGTTCCTGTCTAGAAAATTATCCAGATAACCAGCCACATCAAAGACTATTAAACTTTTTAATTGCTCAGGTAGAAAGACGGAGAATGTCGTCATTATCTATCAGAAGAATCCGCTGTAGATAATGCTACTTGAATAACATACTCAAGGATACTAGTAGCTGAAGTGCCATTTAGTACTCAGAAGTAATCATGTGCTTTAATTATTCATAGGGCACAATGCACGAATTCATAATACCAATTATGGTTTCAGAAAGTATCATATGCTGTGGCTCACTTACACAGGAGGGTGAGCTAATGCAAAATAAAAGCGTAAGTATTTGCAATTGCCATGGTGTCCTGTGTGTGCAAGTTAGTTATATGTTACTGTGGTCAAAGGTCAATGTGATTTACAAAGTTTTTATAGGAGTTAATATTATACCTCATTCATGTTGTAATTAATTTTCTAGAAGTCATATATACATATACTTAAAATATATATATTTAAGACAGGGTCTCACCAGGCTGGCCTCAAATCTACTACTTATTGAAAGATGACCTTGAACTCCTGACCCTCTTGCCTCTACTGCCCAAATGCTGAGATTGCTAACCTGTGCCACCATGCCCAGCTGGAAAGAAGCCTCACTGACAGGGTTTGTGTTTACACCTTACCTGTAATGCAGGACTGTGTTCCTTTGTGCTAGGGGCTGAGGCGTGTAAGACAGAACTGACCCTCGGAGCCTCCCAATCTCATAGATAGTGATACAATAAGGGTGGCCATGGCAAACTTGAGAAGATTTGTAACCTCTCCAGTTTTTCAGTCAGTCACACACTACTGAATGTCAGTGTGGGCTCTGAAAAATGCATGGACTGAATCTATTGTCCCTGAGCTCCAAACCTCCACGGTATATCACCACTGAATACACACCAAAGACGGTTGAAACACAGCAGCAGGTATGTGTGTAAGATACTAAGGTCTAGGAATTTTTCAGCTCCTTTATAGTTTGATGGACCCCATTGCGTATGTCCTGCCGTTGACCAAAAACATCGTGTGGTGTGTATTGTATTTGCATCAGT